TGTTTTTAAAAATGACACATTTTGTGGAAAATTAAAAATGTTTTGATGTAAAGGCATATGCTTAAATGCTTGCAATTAGTATTTTCTGTATTTTTGACAAATATCTGTTATGTGAATTCGAATGAATACTAAAAATAAAAATAAAAAAACTTCATAATGTCCATCTTGATGTACAAACAGCAGGACTTCAATTACATTCACTCCAAACAAGCCACAGAGCAAATATAACAATATTTAACCAATCACAAGATATCATGCATCCCTGCTTCAAAAAATTAAACGTTAACAATTCTCACAATTAACTAGCATGCATATTACTAGCATATTCGCTGTTTATTAGTACTTATAAAGCACATTTTAATGCCTTCTTCTGCATGACCATATTTTAGATTTATAAGGAGCATTATATTAATAATTGTTGTTATATTAATTATATTATATTAAATATAGCTGCAAGCAGCAATTACCGGGGTTCAAGCACTTCAAGGCCTTTATGGCTTATATGCTGTTAGGGTGTAGGCCAACGTGAAATGTATGGCTGACACCAGAACACATCCACAATGGAGAATACGATCACACGTAATGAAAGGGTTAAATTATATTACTTAATACACACTGTATTACTTAATACACTAAACAATTCTCACAATTAACTAGCATGCATATTACTAGCATATTCGCTGTTTATTAGTACTTATAAAGCACATTTTAATGCCTTCTTCTGCATGACCATATTTTAGATTTATAAGGAGCATTATATTAATAATTGTTGTTATATTAATTATATTATATTAAATATAGCTGCAAGCAGCAATTACCGGGGTTCAAGCACTTCAAGGCCTTTATGGCTTATATGCTGTTAGGGTGTAGGCCAACGTGAAATGTATGGCTGACACCAGAACACATCCACAATGGAGAATACGATCACACGTGAACTATATCTTTATCGATATTACTTAATACACACTGTATTACTTAATACACTAAGCACTAAGCATGCTCACACACACACACACACACATTTTGTTGTAGATATAGATATTTGAAATAATTGATAGGTAACAAAATGCTTACTGCAAGTCTCCTGTTCATAATTCAAATTTTTTCAGGTTTAACTGTAATCATGTGGCATAATTGTAAAAACTATATATCTGTATAAATTAAGTGGTAAACTTTGACTAAATGTGATTTTTAAATGTAATAACAATGATTTCATAATGTCTAAATGTAAATACAAAAGTAAAACCTGAGAAAAGAAGTATAGTAGTGAGTAGAATGAACCAATGAGGTTCTCTGCTGCCATCTAGTGGTTATAATTGCACTTTCAGGGAATTTACCATAGAAATAGTGTTTTTAACCTTTATTACGATTATAGCGATAATTTTTGTCCAATGTCCATAACATTTTTGCATGATTGTTTAGAACCATATGATGCATGAGTTGACTTAGTTTTGAGTTTTATTTTAGGATTTGCAAGCTTTTGGGTACACTAGATCAAGACCATATTTTAAAATGACTGTTATAGCTGTATTGACCTAGAGACTCCAGAGAATTGTACTGCACTGATTTTATTCATTTTAAAAACCTAGGACTAGTTCACAAAAGTAGTTTTTTAAATGATCTAAAATATTTAAAGAACAATTTGATTGACAACAGTGATCCTAGAGGCAAAGTTGTTCAGAATGAGGAGATCTATTGTATGATATGAAGATCAAGTGTATGTCTGAAACAATGCGTAATATATGAACATTTTCTGTGATTTCAGTTAATTTACCACATAAATATTATGTTTTTGACACCTTTTTAATTGTTATAGCACCAGCTTTAGGCCGATCTCATTGAAACTTTGCATGGTTGTTTAGAATCTTATGTCGCATGTGCTCACCTGTTTTCGTGAAGTCTCTTTCACCCCTTTTCTAAATTACCCCATTATAGCTACCTGATGTTTAAAGTTTGTTTGATAATTATTGATCTAGAGAGTCCAGTGAATTGTACTGCAGTGGCTTTATTGAGGCTGCGTGAAAAACCTAGGACTAGTTCGCAAAAGTAAGTTTTTAACATAATTGAGAATATTTAATGAACGATTTGATTGACAGCAGTGGAACTGGAGGAAAAGTTGTTCAGTATGAGGAGATCTATCAAATGATATGAGTATTGTGTCGATGTGTGAAACACCATGTGATTACAGAAGCATAAAACTTGTTAGCACCACCTAGTGGCTGATTTCTTTCGAAATTCTTTCAGACCTTTAGGTCCATGAGTCAAACATGCCCACCAAGCTTCGCTCCGATCGCCTCTGTTAACCTTGTCTAATAGGTGCTCAAAATTCATTGGCTAATGGCGGCCATGTTTTTTGAGATTCGCAAATGTCCTCATAGACACTTGTGGCACATTGGACAAAGACACAACATACCAATTTTCAAGCCAATCAGACTAAGGGGTGCGTAGTTATAGCCTTTTTTATGTTTTCCCCCTGTCATAGCGCCACCAAGTGGGCAAATTCCACATTTGTTTTTACTTTGACCTGAGATTGAGCTCATAGTTCCATGTTTGGAAAAAATATCTCTTTCTTTTCAAGAGTTATAGGTGTTTTAGTAAAAGTGGTTCCGCCCCTTACGGACGTTTTGGTGTCCCGTCGCGACAGGAACTCGAAAGTTCACCTTTTTTTGATAATTATTGATATTCACAGCCACTACCATCCCTCCAACTTTCAAGTATCTACGACTTATGGGTGAAGAATGCTGATCCTTGGCCATTCTAACAATTACAATAAGGTTTCAGCACTATGCGCTTCAACTACAAATCATCGCTACGCACACCATAATAAGCAGCAAATTGGTAGTTTATTGAGGCAAAAGTAATAGTTAATAGTTAGGTAATTGTGAGAACTGGACCTTCAAATAAAGTGTGACCAATAAAACAAATAATAAATATATTTCAGAAATCATTAATACCATATGTTATACCAGGGTTGTACACCAAGTTTAGTTTTCTTTTTTTCTTCTTTTTTATACCAATAAACTGGGTGCATTTGAAACATTGCTGCTTTTACATTAGAATAAGCTTGATGAACATAGAACAGTTGTTCTAAGTCAGTTTCTAGAGACCAATGATGGCATTTGGTGCTAAAAATGGCTGCATGAGTATTTTGCCACGCAACAGCATGATGCCTCATCAAGCTGGACAGCGTTTCTAACCAGAATTGCTGGTGAACATTTCTGTGCATTGCAAATGAGCCTAGTATAAGGCAGGTTTATAAGATGAAGAGCGATCAGAACTAAGACAAGAAAATAACAAAGGCATTTTTCCCAATTTGGTTGTAGTGATGGAGTAGTTTCTTGTGTGGACAGTTCAGTATATTTAATCAAAATATGAACTGGCTGACTTACTGTACATCAAGCTTTTCACTTCCCTAATGAGTGAAAAAGGCATGTGCTCATTTATTTATCAGAGAGGAGAAGTGCTGCTAATTGAGTCTTGCTTATGGTTAGAAGCTGCACATGGCGAATTCTTTGATTATACTGGAGGGACCGTTTTGCTGTTTGCACATTTAAGAGGATGACTGTGGATTGGAAAGCTGTACTGGTGATTCTCCTAGAAGACACAAGAACAGATGCATCTTTCCATCAGTCCGCGCCAATATTTATTTATTGAATTCTGCTGCTTTAAATAAGACAGGCCCAGAGCAAAAGGGACACCAGGCTTGACAGATAATGAGGAATTCAGGGAGCACTTCACAGGCTCGGGAGGATAAAGAACAAGGATTAAACTAAGACAATCTAGAACGCTTGTACTTATACTTCATTCATACACATAATAATATGAGTATATTTGTGCATATTTGTGTAGTTTTGAAAGATATATGTTTCCGTGTAATGAACTGATTTTCATGCACAGCCTTTGATTTGGAAAATGCATACAAAGATGGTATAATTTACAATTATATCTGGACAAATGTCATGAAATATTTCATATTTCAGTTTAATAAAAAAGCAATCATTTGCGTCAAGAAAATTTAGCCTATTTTAAATGTCATTAACACTGTTGGATTGTGAAATTATTGTAACAATTATAGGAACAGTTCACCCAAAAAATAAAAAATTGCTAAAAATGTACTCATCTTCAGGCCATCCAAGATGTATGTGAGTTTGTTTCTTCATCAGGTTTGGAGAAATGTAGCATTGCATCACTTGCTCGCCAATGAATCCTCTGCAGTGAATGGGTGCCGTCAGAATGAGAGTCTAAACAGCTGATAAAAACATCACAATAATCCACAAGTAATCCACACCACTCCAGTCCATCAGTTAACATCTTGTGAAGTAAAAAGCTGTGTTTGTAAGAAAAAAACTGTTGCAAAAATACGTGTCCATAATCCATAAAAACACTTCCGCCAGTGAAAAGGTCCATCCCCTGTTGTCCTCTCAAATCAAAATCCACAAAAAAAAATTCACATTATAGCAATGAGAATTTGAAGTGGAAATCATTTTTTTTTTAGCAAAATATAATTCCATACTACGCCGTCAGAATGAGAGTCTAAACAGCTGATAAAAACATCACAATAATCCACAAGTAATCCACACCACTCCAGTCCATCAGTTAACATCTTGTGAAGTAAAAAGCTGTGTTTGTAAGAAAAAAACTGTTGCAAAAATACGTGTCCATAATCCATAAAAACGCTTCCGCCAGTGAAAAGGTCCATCCCCTGTTGTCCTCTCAAATCAAAATCCACAATTTTTTTTTTCACATTATAGCAATGAGAATTTGAAAAGGAAATCATTTTCTTTTAGCAAAATATAATTCCATACTACTTTCTTTTGATTTTTAATGTAAAATATGACATATTCTTGACAGGTTTCAAGAGACTTAGCATCAGTGGAACTGTGAAACTGATGTGTTTTTCATATCACAATTACAGCCTTAGTATATAAAGAAATGAATGCAAAAGAAATTCAGTGATTAGTCAATTTACTAACTTTTCATTTTTATCTTTGCATCACCAGGTTATGATACAGTATTTTAATCCAAGTGTTTTCCGGTGTATTCTCCTGAGATGGGTCCGTTTGCTCGGATTTGCCATCGTCTACGGAACAGTGATTCTCAAACTGTACAGGTACAAATAATGCTGCCAGCTTCACAGTAAACAATCATGTTTCTGCTGAAGTCTGCATAAGAAAAACGTGTTGCTTTAGTTTACCACTTTTTCATATTTGTGTCCTGTCCTTGTTTCTCATACCAAGGGTTTTGAAGGTGTTCCTGTCCCGCACCGCCCAGCAGATCCCGTACATGACCAGCTGGAGGGTTCTGCGTCTGCTTGCTGTGATTTTGCTGGTGGTTGTGTGGTTCCTAGTGGCCTGGACCTCAGCCGCATGCCAGAGCCACGACACCCATCACGCCCTCATTGACATCGCTTTCACCCCAGAGGGCCTGCAGTTCAGCATGTGCCTGATGGACAGCTGGGACTACATGATGGCTGCTGGTCAGTTCATATGCTAATAGTTATTCTACAATAACCAGCATTGGAGAGCAAAATACAGACAGCGGGCCAATTAAAAATGTCATTAGACTAGGGCTGTCAAAATGACTGAAAAACTAAATTCGAATTTTCCACTTAAATATTATCAAAATTCGAATTATATTATTAAAAGGCATAATTTCAGTTAGGGGGGAAAAAAGCTTTTAGCTTCTCTCCCGAGGCCACAAGAGGGCGCATCGAGCAAAATATTATGCACGTTTCTTCAAAGCGTAATAAAATAACACGACTATCTTTGAAAAAAAGTGCATAATGTTTAAAATAATGTTTATAAACCATATATAATTAATAAAGATGCTTAAACAATTAGGGGAAAAAAACATGCCACTCTCTTGTGCGAGACGCGAGTGCAACGCTGATAGATGCCCCGCTAGAAAATGTGATAAATATGCATTCTGTGTGAACGGCTTGGTTTCAGTTTCGCCGTAAACAACATATTCGCCACACTGATGCTCTCGTTTTACGCTATATATTGAATGAACAACGTAGCAGCGCTGCATCTAGTGGGTTCAATTGGATAGGCTAACAAAAGCATTAAAATGCAATGGCACTTACATTGTCGTCGCATTTCGTGCGCCACTGATAAGGCTGCCTGACGGCTGACGCAGATCTAAAATTCGAATGCAACGTTTTTGCATTCGAATGTGGATATAAAAAAAATAATTTAAATTTGACGAATATTCGAAATTCGCATTTTTTAAATAATAATATTATAAACAAGTAAAACATGAAGACGTAGATCGCAGAGGTCAAGATCTCACACAACTTCCTCTTTTATTTGTGCTACCAGCAGCCTCAAACAAAAGGAAAATTAGGCAAGAATGCCAAACTCTCAGGGTTATGGATGCAACTTTGACAGAAGAGATGTGGGATGTATAATCGGATCATCTGAGTGTGGCCAGACAGCCTTTAAGGCATGAGGGTGTGAGACGTGGCCAGTGATGCAGAGACGGCTCACTCTGACAGCTCCAGAACCTTCTGCTTACAGCGTGAACTGCATGGAGATAGCCCGGAAACTCATGATATCCATTCATGCACACAAACAAAGGCATTTTCACCTGTAATATTTCAATGCTGGAAGGACAAAGATATAAGCTATACTTATTGTACTTTTTGGTCCTTTTTGAAGACACAAAACAGTCTTCGTTGTCTCATTTCTTATTTATCCCATTTTCCTTTTTAAAACAATAAAATAACTTTTTACTTGAAATAAAATAATAAAAAACTTTAATTGTAATTTAACTAGTTGCCAAGTCAAGTTTAACCGATTGCACTAAAATAAGTCAAACTAAAACTATATAGATATATTTAAACAAATAAAATGACAAAACACAAATGTACTAAAACTAAAATGAAAACAAATAGATAAATATGTAATAGTATCTCAGTGATACTTAAATAAGACTGGTTCAGTATTGCTTCCGCAAAGCAGTGCCACTGCTTTGCTTATTATTAAAAAGTAAAGTAATCCACACCACTCCAGTCCATCAGTTAACATCTTGTGAAGTAAAAAGCTGTGTTTGTAAGAAAAAAACTGTTGCAAAAATACGTGTCCATAATCCATAAAAACACTTCCGCCAGTGAAAAGGTCCATCCCCTGTTGTCCTCTCAAATCAAAATCCACAAAAAAAAATTCACATTATAGCAATGAGAATTTGAAAAGGAAATCATTTTCTTTTAGCAAAATATAATTCCATACTACTTTCTTTTGATTTTTAATGTAAAATATGACATATTCTTGACAGGTTTCAAGAGACTTAGCATCAGTGGAACTGTGAAACTGATGTGTTTTTCATATCACAATTACAGCCTTAGTATATAAAGAAATGAATGCAAAAGAAATTCAGTGATTAGTCAATTTACTAACTTTTCATTTTTATCTTTGCATCACCAGGTTATGATACAGTATTTTAATCCAAGTGTTTTCCGGTGTATTCTCCTGAGATGGGTCCGTTTGCTCGGATTTGCCATCGTCTACGGAACAGTGATTCTCAAACTGTACAGGTACAAATAATGCTGCCAGCTTCACAGTAAACAATCATGTTTCTGCTGAAGTCTGCATAAGAAAAACGTGTTGCTTTAGTTTACCACTTTTTCATATTTGTGTCCTGTCCTTGTTTCTCATACCAAGGGTTTTGAAGGTGTTCCTGTCCCGCACCGCCCAGCAGATCCCGTACATGACCAGCTGGAGGGTTCTGCGTCTGCTTGCTGTGATTTTGCTGGTGGTTGTGTGGTTCCTAGTGGCCTGGACCTCAGCTGCATGCCAGAGCCACGACACCCATCACGCCCTCATTGACATCGCTTTCACCCCAGAGGGCCTGCAGTTCAGCATGTGCCTGATGGACAGCTGGGACTACATGATGGCTGCTGGTCAGTTCATATGCTAATAGTTATTCTACAATAACCAGCATTGGAGAGCAAAATACAGACAGCGGGCCAATTAAAAATGTCATTAGACTAGGGCTGTCAAAATGACTGAAAAACTAAATTCGAATTTTCCACTTAAATATTATCAAAATTCGAATTATATTATTAAAAGGCATAATTTCAGTTAGGGGGGAAAAAAGCTTTTAGCTTCTCTCCCGAGGCCACAAGAGGGCGCATCGAGCAAAATATTATGCACGTTTCTTCAAAGCGTAATAAAATAACACGACTATCTTTGAAAAAAAGTGCATAATGTTTAAAATAATGTTTATAAACCATATATAATTAATAAAGATGCTTAAACAATTAGGGGAAAAAAACATGCCACTCTCTTGTGCGAGACGCGAGTGCAACGCTGATAGATGCCCCGCTAGAAAATGTGATAAATATGCATTCTGTGTGAACGGCTTGGTTTCAGTTTCGCCGTAAACAACATATTCGCCACACTGATGCTCTCGTTTTACGCTATATATTGAATGAACAACGTAGCAGCGCTGCATCTAGTGGGTTCAATTGGATAGGCTAACAAAAGCATTAAAATGCAATGGCACTTACATTGTCGTCGCATTTCGTGCGCCACTGATAAGGCTGCCTGACGGCTGACGCAGATCTAAAATTCGAATGCAACGTTTTTGCATTCGAATGTGGATATAAAAAAAATAATTTAAATTTGACGAATATTCGAAATTCGCATTTTTTAAATAATAATATTATAAACAAGTAAAACATGAAGACGTAGATCGCAGAGGTCAAGATCTCACACAACTTCCTCTTTTATTTGTGCTACCAGCAGCCTCAAACAAAAGGAAAATTAGGCAAGAATGCCAAACTCTCAGGGTTATGGATGCAACTTTGACAGAAGAGATGTGGGATGTATAATCGGATCATCTGAGTGTGGCCAGACAGCCTTTAAGGCATGAGGGTGTGAGACGTGGCCATTGATGCAGAGACGGTTCTCTCTGACAGCTCCAGTACCTTCTGCTTATAGCATGAAGCACAGGGGGAACTGCATGGAGACAGCCTGAAATCTCATGACATCTATTCATGCACACAAACAAAGACGCTTGCATTATTTCAGTGGCAGAAGGACAAAACTCTATAGAATCATGAACCTTATTACTAGGAGCCTCATGAAAAATGGAAACAATATGTTCTAAAATCGGCTTAAAATACACATGACAAAACATACAAAAAACATGTTTGAAATCCTCAGGCTGGATGGAATCATAGCCTGAAGATAAAAAAATCAGAGTCTGCACCCATCATACATGCACTACACAATTTTCTGTGAAATCTGTCAGCTGCTGAAAATTTACAGACCGTCTCTGGGTTGGAAACTAACATCACACACAGAACAACACAGACAACAGTAATAATCAAAAGGTGAAAATTTACTGAGAAGCAAGAACAACCAGAAATAGAGGGGCCAGACTGACGGAGACGAGCCGGTAGAAGAGGAGCCCAGGGCAGAGACAGAGTGCCGCAGAGCCAAGGTGACACTGAGGATCTGGAGGGCCATGGTGGAGCTGATGGCTCAGGAGACTGAGGCACAGGCGAGGATCTGGAAGACCGCGGTGGAGCCAGAGCGACAGAGAACCAAAGTGGAGCCAAGGGGAGGGAGGAGTCCAACGGAGCCAGAGGGATGAAGGGACGAAGCGAAGCCGGAGTAGTGTAGTCCCGAAGCTTAGGCAGGTGGATGACCGACCAAGGCGGAGCCAGAGGGACGAAGGAGCCCAGCGGAACTGGTGGGCTGACGGGCCACGGTGGAGATGAGGGAGCCAAGGTGGAGCCGATGGGCCGAAGGGCCGATGTGGAGTCCGGGTCTCGGAGGCTGGAGGCAGAGACGGGGATCCTCCAACCATGATTTAGCTGGAGACTGGAAGTCCTGCAGCGAATCCACGCAGCTTACCGCACACAGAGGATGAGCTGAGGGACAGACAGGAACCAGCGGAAGCGGTGCCGAGGAAGAGAGGTAGCTGAGGAGAGGCCGCTGGAGAGGGAGACTGGGCAGGAATTCGGGACAGGCAGAGAGTCCATAAACGGCCTCCTTTGTCATGGCTGGACAGGCAGAGAGTTCATAAACGGCCTCCTTGGCCATAACAAGACAGGCAGAATGTTCATAAATGGCCTCATTGGCCATGGCTGGACAGGCAGAGAGTTCATAAATGGCCTCCTTGGCCATAACAAGACTGGCAGAGAGTTCATAAACGGTCTCCTTGGCCATGGCTGGACAGGCAGAGAGTTCATAAACGGCCTCCTTGGCCATGTCTGGACAGGCAGAGAGTTCATAAGTGGGCTTCCTTGAATGTGGCAGGGTAGACAGGGAGTTCATAAGTGGGCATCCCTGCCTTGAGAGGAGCTGAAGTGGTCACCGCCCCCTCAGGAGGCCACGCAGCAGAAGCTGCCAACTCCGAAAGAGCTGGAGCAGACTCAAGGACTGGAGCTGACTCAGGAGGAGTAACAGAGCAGTGAGTAGCCCAAACACACAGGATGGCGACCGCCATTACAGAGAGCACTGAGCCTAGGGCAACAGTCTGTGATGACTCGTTCTGAGGCCCTTGGGATGTCTGCTGCTCGCACTGACATCAGCGGTGGATCCTCCACACTGGATGCAAGTCTCGGACGCCTTGGGACTGACCTTAAGACACTGGGCATGGTCGACATGACGTGAAGAGACTCTGGAACGGCGGCCATCTTGAGCAGAGACTCTGGGCTGATAGCCATCTTGGGAAGAGACTCTGGAGTGGGAGATACTGCAGGAGTTCTGTGTTGTTCCTCCACAACACCCACAGTAAATGCAGAGCCACTCAGTTGCAGTGCCAGATCTATGGAAAACTCCAGTGTCCAGTGAGGATCATGCAAAGGCATAAGTGAGCTGAGCGGTTCAGATAGCCCCCCACAAAAAAATATCATCAGGCATTCCTTGTCTATACTAGTCAGGTGTACCAGCTCAACAAATTCCCTCACGTAGTCTTCGATGGGCCGATCTCCCTGACGAAGGCATATAATTTGTGCTGCTGAATTCATATTTTTGCTGGTCGTTAAATAAAGCTTGCTGGATCCGGGTGTGGCAGAGTATTCTGTAACGTGGGAAGCGTGACAACGGAGTTGAGGATACAAATGCGAGCTTTATTCAAAAGAGTGATCAAAACAGGCAGGGTCAAAAACCAGCAAACGGGTACAATCCCGGATGAGACAAAAGAGTAATCCACAAACAGGCAAGGGTCAGGGCAGGCAGCAAACAATCAAAAACCAGATACACAGTCCAGGGATTAAAACACAGGCAAGGCAAAAACGAGAAAACACAGGAACTTGTGGGCACTCCAGCTATATTGGTATATTATACAGCTATAAATACTCAGTGTTCATTTCTCTAGTGAGCTGTGGCGCCTGTCACACCACATCAAAGCAGGGCCGTAGCCACAAAGGTGGATCAGAGTGGCAGCTACAACACTAAAAATGAGCTTTGCCACCTGAAGGCAGAGTATGTGAGCGGAGGTAGAATTAGTTAAAAATATATATATTTTAAATTGCATTCATTAAATAAATCAGGGAAACAAATGTTTGATCAAAATGCTGTAACAACTGTAACCTTGTCGTTATATTTTTATTACATTGTTGTTAGATAACTACCGTTAACTTTATAAGAATGATTGACACAAACTTGTTCATCTGTATAACCATCTCAGTATTGTAAGGTATCTGCAATTAAAATAGTAAGTAAATGTAATTTAAAGCCCTAAAAACTCACTTGAAAAGACATTGTTTAAATATTTACTTAAAGAGGTCATATGATTCGATTTAAATTTTTCCTTTCTCTTTGGAGTGTTACAAGCTCTTTGTGCATAAAGAAGTTCTGTAAAGTTGCAAAGACTAAAGTCTCAAATCCAAAGAGATATTCTTTATAAATTTAAGACTTGTCCATGCCCTCCTAAAACGCCTCGTTTAAACACGCCCCCACATATCTACGTCACTGTGTGGGAAGATTTGCATAGAAAGAAGGCATAACTTTTATTCTCGCTGTAGTATTGTTGCCGCCGCCGCCGCCATGTCGTGAAGGCGCTGTGCTTCATTGTGAAAGTGAAACTACTTTGTTTGGCCTTCCAAAAGAGGACGATATCCGCTTCGTCATGCCTAGAGCTGATCCGTGCTGGTCACTGAGGAAAAACATCAACTTCGCGCTGTCAATCGCTGGATCGGCTTTCACTGTGGATGAAGCAGAGTCCAGCCCGGGGTCGTCACATGTAGTTGCCGCAAGCCTCCTTTGTCGAATCCGCCAGGCGCCGCTCACTCAAGCCGCTGTGTGTTTTGTTGTGAAAACGAAACTACTTTGTTTTGCCTTCCAAAAGAGGACATAATGTTTCTATAAAGTGGGGCAGTTCCTACTTTGCAAGGACAGTCTAGCGCTTCGGACTCGCAGCCTGTAAGTACGTTTTTTATATTTAAAGAATTTGCCACAGACAATTCAAACGCGAGTTTGAGCAGGGTAGAGTAGTGCTTATTGTTTGTCATTTCTCCGATCACAAATGCAGACATGGTTTTATGTTTACGCAACGCAAAGCGTAAAAAACAAAGTATAAGTCATTACAATCAGTAAATATGTCCCCACTGGATGCAACAAATGCCTCGTTTGTAATGGGTTTTATTGGTTTTGTCTCGTCGCGCCGGACACATGGAAACCATAGACTGTATGATGGAAACACAGTATGGTAAGGGGCGTAACATTTTTGTCACACGCTTGAGGTATTCGGCCAATCACAATGCACTGGATAGCTGGCCAATCAGAGCACACCTCGATTTTCAGACCGATGAGCTTTGTAAAAATCGACGCGTTTCA